AAAAACAATGATAACAAAAGTGCAGTATACGCACACTTAAAAGAAACAAACCACACAATTGAAGATGAACAAGTAAAAATCCTTGGAACAGAAAAGAGATGGTTTGAAAGGGGAGTAAAGGAAGCAATTTTTGTTCAAAAATTTTCACCCTCTCTGAACCGTGAAGGAGGTATCAGATTTAACCTGTCTCCTATTTACAATAACTTGTTGACCACCAAGGCACATCGACATGCTGATCAGGCTAACCGAAAGTAGCGATTCAGTCCTGGCCCAAACGATAGGCCTAATCAAGACCCAACGATAGGGAATTTAGAAATCAATGGGCCTCTTCACGATAGGGGCATGACTAACCATCCCCACCCAGTCCTCAAATAGGCCACACTCAGTCTTTTAGCGCGGAGCAATTTCCCGGAGTCTTCAGGGAGACTTCAGAGTTGTCTACCGTTGACGAAGCTTCTGTGAGAGAAGCGAAACGTCCTTTTTTTTTTTTGTTTTTTGTTTTTTACCCACAAGTACAGATGACGACTGACGGAACCCTTTCTACCACAAAAAGTATTGAAAAAATAAAATAAAGCAGGTAAATCTTTAACCTACGGCGGCGCGTGACCCGCGTCGCCGGTAGTTGTTCGCGCTCAGCAGTCTACAATTGCAGCTTGTGAACAGAGCTGTTGTGCTATATCTTTTGTCTTCATCATTATTCTCATTCAGAGTTTGTTTCATGTACAATTCACAGAGGGCGCGGGCAAAGAATAGGAATCTAGAGGGCAGAGGGAAGCACTTAAAAACGGTACGTGTGAGCTATGATAGTTAACAGGCTGCAAAAGTGCGTTGCATGCCTCCGTGTCAGGCTGTTGTTCATCTTGGTGTGCGTGTGTGTGTATGTGCGTGCGCATGCACGGTAACGGGTCGATCGCGGGAGGTTGGTTAATCGAAAAGTCGACCTTCGGTCCAAAAAGTTTGGGCACCGCTGCTGTCCTGCATCAAAATAGTCCAAACCATCGGTACTCGTGAACTCCTCAACAATGAATGACATGTTTTTTGAAGAAAATGAATATGGCACTCCAGCTTGGGTGCTCTGAAAAGACACCAAGCAACAATATTACACAACACAAAGCTGCATCAGTCACGTTTCAGGGTAACAGTATGTACACTTTAGTGTATAAATTAATCATCAAAACTTTGTGTTGTTACTAGTGTCATAATTTGTGTAGCAGATGTGAATTGTATTATTTTTTTCCCTACATTTATTTTAATTCACAGAGAATAATACAAATTACTTTTTGCATTTTAAAATACAGTACCATATAACAACATCAACAGCACCTTTCTAAAAGCTGGCTAATGTTAAATTATCACTTCAGTGCAGTGCAAAATGCAGAACCTTTCTGTGGTATCTGTACGAATATCCCTTAGTGCCAGCAACACTGAGTGTGAAGTACTGGTTTGCCAACTTTGGCATAGTTGCTCAGGTATTGTTTTGTTTATCAATGTGTATTGTCCTTTCTAAATAAATACAATGAAATGAAGTGAACATGTCCAGCCATCCATATTTCAAACCATGCTTGGAAGAGCAATTTCCCTATGATAGTTGAATATACAGTGCCACACAGCGTAAACAACAATTTTAAAAAGCCGTTGTGTTGCAAAGGGTACCAATTGGATCAAGCCTTGCTGGTCCTACGTGACCCGACTTGTCTGTCTCGAGCGTGTTTGTGAATATGGTACTGCCTCAATGTGCATTCCAGCGTATTCAGCTGCATGACCCCGGCGCATCTGACAATTTGATTACCAAAAGTAGAGTCAATTTTAAACTACCTAAACCAAGTCTAATTTGTGGCGCTGATGGTGAAACGTGATTTTGATGGATTTAAATGAGGCACAACGCCACAAATGTCCTCTTCCACTATGTGAGTCTTGCCAAATAACAAAAGCAAGGAAATTCCACCCATGCACACAATGAAACAGCGCCTGGCCCAAGACTTGCACTGAGCATGAAAATTGGACCCCAAATGTCTCCTTCTTAAATGGTAAAAATGGTTTTGAACAGTACTCACAAATACAAACTCATCTAAAACTTACTAACAATTTATTTTGTTTTACTGTATTTAACCTCTGTACTAAAAATAACAAAAACAACTCACCATTCTTCCAGGAATCCCCATACTTCCTTTGTCACCCTGACCAACGTAAATTTAGAAGGGGCATGGTTCAATATCAAGGTTAACATGTACACAGACGTAGACTCTCTTCGATAGATAACTTGACATTTGGACTTGGCAACTCGTTGTCATTTTCGAGCCATTGTACAGACATTGGGTATTACAGACCTTAATTCATAGAATTAGTAATAGTAGTAGAACTTCTAAACGACCAATGACATGGGAAAATAAATGCTAAACACATTTTTTTGGGAGTTTGCATTAGTCCCAATGCCATGAAATCAATTCAACAATTAAAAATCATGATTTGCACGAAGTAGTCAAGTAGCCATGCTGCATCATGCTGGTGGTGAAGAGCAGTCAGCACGTTCTCAAAACCAAGAGTAAAATAATCAGTTCACACTACATGCATCATTGCATCAATATAAAATACACATCTAAAAAAAATTATCATTATTGCCATACCATTCTTTGTGTATATGCTCTATTGCATTTTGTTTTGTTGTTATATATATTGACTGCCAGGATGAAATTAAAACACAAGCCATTTTTCTCATTCCATTTTTTATCGTGTTTGTCCTGGAGACAAAAAAACATATTCACTCCTATGGACAATTTAAAGTCTTCAGTTAATTGAAGTGTTTTGGAATGCAACTCTGAGGCATTATGCTCACTCATACTTAATTGTGGTGCCCTCAGAAAAATAATAATGAGCCACCTTATTCCAACGCTCCATGAGTATTTTCATGAAAAAGGTCCACAACTTATAACGAAACCAGCAGTGTGCTTACATTAAAGTGTTTGCACGGGTCCACTTTCTATGACAGTTACAGACGTTGACAATGTGGGAATGCCAGTTGCTGTAGCTTAGAAGAGAAACCATTTCAATGCTGCTTCCTACGATGTTCAGGGGTATGAGGATAACAAAAAAAAAAACCACTCAAAAGCATACATCAGGGCTCTGGACAACCAGGATAACATTTATTAACAGACACAAATAAAATGTTTTTGAATATATATGTATATATATATATATATATATATATACACACACACACACACACACACACACACACACACACACACACACACACACACACACACACACACACAGAGTGGACTAAAGCTAGTAAAACCCATAATGGGCCCTATAAACCCATAATGCGCATGACTGTGATGTGTCATATAAATATGCGCAGGTCAAATCTGGACAAAATTTTCGTAATCTGTCAGATGCATGAGCACAGATAAAAACGGGCATGAAACACCACCAATTCTATTCGCCACCACACATCTCTGTCGAGCGAAGAATCTATCTGCCTATGACCCAATCAAAATCACCAAAATAATGCCACACCGACAACAGTTAGCCATGGTTCCAGCAGGCATGAACTTAAGTCTGGTTTGAGCCACCAAATTCTCAGGTGTGCCGGGCGCATGTCTAGGGAAACATTCTTGGTACGCTAAAATGCCTACCATGGCACAGAGCGGTCTGTCAAATTCCAAAACAGACTGCAACTGAGACTGAGGCTTGCACCTGCATAAATATCAAGAAACACAATAATATACATTTATTTATATTTTAAAATGGCAGAATAAGAAACAAAAACCAGCGTTAAAGATAAATAGGTCATTAACAACTATTTAAAACATTCAGCTGGGCATGCTGGAGAGCCGAGCATTAATTCCGTCCATCGTTAGAGTATTCATCACCTTGAACAGCTGCTCCCAAAGATACGCTGTGTTCAAGCTGCATGGATAGAGCTACAGAAAGACTGTGCGCCACCTATCGTTTGATAAGGCAGCTGTTGTGTTGAATCATCAAATTCATAGTTTGTGTGTCATTAGTGCTTCACAGCGCAGCACTAAAAAAGATACTGTGGAGTGGTATGGAACCGGAGAAGGAAGTGCTTCCCTTCATGTTTTGCTGTACTTACAATTCACACATTTGAATGTGTTATCGTGAATCTTTTTTAACAGAAATGGCGTAATGGTTACCGTGGTGTCATTTTTAGTCATGTACAAATAAATTATTGCCACTAAGGTGGATCTGGCAACTGTAGTTATAATGTATTACTTGTCAAAATCAGACTCTCGTTTTGCTTTCTTGATTCACAGGTTGAGTCATTGTTCCGTAATAGCAAAGGCATTTTAAATTAACAAGATTTATAGCACATGTGTCAAACTCAAGGCCCGCGGGCCAGATCTCGCTTCCCAAAATTCATAACGGCCTTCCAAGGGAAACCGTAACTACAATGTGGCCCGCGACAAAAACGAGTTTGACACCTCTGGTTAATAGGCTTGCTATGCAGAGGCAATCCTATAGATATATATAAAATTAAATATACATATACTGTATACACACACACACACATACACACACACACACACACACACACACACACACACACACACACACATATATATATATATATATATATATAAGGCGGCTGGATAGCTCAGACGGTGGTTCGAATCCCGCTTGGGGCAAAAATGAGCACATAACACCATCCAGTGTGGGTCCTTGGGCAAGATCCTTCACGCTAATGCCTACCTCATACAATGATGAGAGACAATAAAATGAATGACATGCCGGCTCAGACGTCGCCCGGCCAAACAAGGTCTGCGTCAGGTGCTGGGGAACCAGAGCACCTTGATGAAAAATGGGCTACTGGAACAAAGCGGAGATGGGCGAGATGCGATAACATGGCTCTGTTGGAATGCTACTACTCAAGCAACCCTAGTCAGAGGGGTTACATGCAGAGAATGCGGGCTGAATGGTTACTTCGAAACCCACAGTCACGGTTGACCACGAAACAACTAGTAGCTCAGTGTTCCAACATCCACAAACGGCAATTGCTGTCACAACTTGAGATTGACGAGGTACAACGCAGGGCCCACGGTGAAGGGCCCCAGGCTGCCAGATCAGAGGAGGAGGTCATACCAGAGATTGGGAGGCAAGCCCCAATGAATGCAAATGCAGATGATGAGATTGGGAGGCCAGCCCCAATGAATGAAATGCTGAGCGAGGCAGCAACTGGCCTGAAGCCTAAGATCATGGCGAGAATGGAAGCTGGGCAACCTAGAAACCGATTACAACGACTATGTGAAGTACCACCTGAAAGTCTCATGGAAAGTGTGAATGCAGCACGGAGGGCGTTCCCAACAGTAACGATCACGGAAACCAATGAGCTGATATACGCTTCAGCATCAGTGATCCTAGAGAGGCTTGGCTATAGGAGCAACCATGGGAGCCAAGAGACACATTACCACCCATGGAAAAGACGGTTGGAGGCTAAGATCAAGGCGGCTCGGAAAGATGTGAGTCAATT